TTAAAGCCATAAACATTCCCCTCCACATTCAGATGTAAATAAAGTTAACAGACCAATTTTAAATAATTAACTGTACTCCATTATATTACCTTTAAGTAGGGCAAAGTTTTTGAGAGTCTTTAAAGATTCTTAAAGACCTTAGAACCTGGAAAGGGCCTGACTTTATTGTGGCGCTAAGGGCCCTTACTGAGCAGTGGTCCTCCCTTTACGTCAAGATCAAATGAGGTAATGCACATTAAAGTACAAAGCCATCTACAAATGACTATTAAATTGCCATTTAGCGTTACAAAGGCAAATTGGGTGTAATGACCGGTAGGTTAACTTTAGTTCGATGACGCGGGACAAGGAGGGGGTTGGGTGGCAGCACGCTGGGGGTGTGGCTGGAGGTCTCAAGTGCGCGTTGTCGGTTGGATGCTTTGGAGGTCGGGGCACCGCCACCAGGGCACGGCGACTTCGCAGCGGGATGGTGGTGGCGCCCGGGAGCTGTGAGCCTGATGCGGTGGGAACAGAGGTGCGGCTCTTCAGAAATAAGGTCCTGGTTTGCGGGCCCGGTCACCCTCCCGGCCGGGCTGGGAAGCCCACGGACTCGGCGCACGTGGGGCGCGTGCCCCAAGCCCTGGCTCCGATTCCTCCCTCCGCGGACCCGCCGGTCCGACGTGCCGCCGCAGCCCCGGGAGCCGGGCGGGGAGCCTGGTGGGCGCCGGAAAGCTCAGATCTCCGACCCTTGGGGTGGTCGTGTGTCCCGGCCGCCACCAGGCCCAAGCAGGACATTGCAGCATCACCTCTCGGCTTCCGGGACTCAGCGCCGCAGTTTCTCCATCTAACTGGTTTCATCTCAGCTCCCGGCACGAATGCACCGAAACCTGAAAGGGAAGAGCGGAGATTGTCCTCCCTTCCGAGGCTGCTGTGTTAAGTTCTTAGTCTGAACATAACCGAATTTAGCTGTGCTTAAAAATCGAATTGTGTGCATTCTCCGGAGAATTCACTAGGATTCCTTATTCCCAGCCGGCAGAGCGGCTGCCTGGCTCCATCGCGCTCGTCGGACGCTTCTTTCCTGCCCACTCCAGGGAGGGTCGTGCTGGCGATTGACTGCTCTACTACTTCCAACCAGGAAAGAAGTCAATACACTGATAGAATAACAAGCAGCCCATTCTTGATGAGTTTCCCCTCCACTCAGGGTTCAATTGAACGCTTTGCTTGCGCAGCTTGTTTCCCAAAACCATATTAAATAAGGCCAAGGGAGAACACGCTTTGATTTTTGTGTGAAAATCAAATATAGCTACTCACTACTACAAAATAGTTTGCACAACTTAGAGGTAAGCAAATTAGTGGTTAAAGTCGTATTAGAGAAGTCACCCAAACAATTGCTGAAACTAGGTTGCATGGCATTTAAAACAATCGCCTTTCACTCAATGGCAGGTAAACCTTCCAAGTAAAAAACAAACGAATCCCCAAAACCTCTCCCATAAGCTTCCATTACCTCCTAACTTAAAAACAATGAAATCAAAGTGATCTTGAAATCACAGTTCTCTCTACGTACTGGAGAGCCAGTTCCTGACCCGAGAATATAGTCTTTTGAGTCTTCTCATCAGTTCTCACTAGCAGTAAAAAGCTATTTATTTTCTTAATAAAATCTACCCTAGATTTCTGTCTCATTGGTTTTGGGCATAGCAAGTGGCAGTATTTTTAAAAATCGAAGTGAAATAATTTAGATGAAGGTTTTTATCCACACATGGTAGTATTGTGTTACACAGTTGGGCAATATAATTCTCACTTTGAACTGTATCTTAAGTTTATGTTGCCACCATAAATTTCTCTTACGCACAAATTCGTACCTAAAAATGCAATCTTTGGTTTCTTAAGTGATTGTGGTCCACAAATTTATTCTAAAAGTCTTTCTAAATCATCAGGATTCAACGAAGCTAACAAAGCAAGTGTTTGGAAGCTGCCTGCCCTTAGTGAGCAGGATTGAGTCTGATTTGCTTTAAACTGAAAGTAAACAGTCGCCAGCAGAATGAGTTTGAACACAACATCAGTTGATGAAAGTCTGATTGATTATTTGTTCTAAGCAAAGCCTTAAATAGAAGACAACTGGGTTACACCCCCACCCTTCCATATACAAAACACCCTTCCTGTTCACTTCAACACTGCACACACTCTCACACACATAACACTTGCATTTACATCCCAACACAGATTACAGAGAAGTACCTGCAATCCCTGCGGTTGTTCCTCCGTGCAATTTGATTCTGGGTTTTGATTCCTGTGTCTCAATTAGAAAAGATAAGTTAGATTGTCATAAAACCTCCAAAACAGGAGAATGTCCCATGTGCAGCTAGCATTTCTGAAATCGAGTTCGGCTGTGGCCTCTGCTAAACTTCCAAGGGGCTTTGTTCCACTCAGACCTTCCCTCTTGGTCCTGAAGACACTTATCCTCCTCTCCAGTTAATGAGTTTCACCTAGTCTGGCTGTTCTGGTTTTTACAAAAGATCTGCAAAGCACTAATTGCAAAAGGAAAAAAGTTCTTGTTTTGCATTAATCAGAATGTGGAGTTCTAGAGTAAACATGCTTTTTAATTTTCATGTTTCAAGAATCAAGCCTTATCCTCACTTCAGGATGTGCACACACACATAAGCTCAGTAGTTTTTGGGTGTAGAATGTGAAGCCCTCTGCAGCAATTACTGTGGCTTGGGTTCTTTCCTACTTAACAGAACGCTGAAAGGAAAAGATATGCCTGTACCAAATACACTTTAAGAAAATATTGTATAAAGAGGCTGTTTCTTCTTAATGATCTTTTGATACAGAGTTCACTTAGTCTAAGGGATTCTTTGTTCCAGAACTAAATTATAAAGGAAAAAACTGTCCATCAAGATTTATTTTCTACTTGGAGCCCTTTTTCCAGCGGTTCTCAACCTGTGGGTCGCGACCCCTTTGGCAGTTGAACAACCCTTTCACAGAGGTCGCCTAAGACCATCCTGCATATCAGATATTTACGATTCATAACAGTAGCAACATTACAGTTATGAAGTAGCAACGACAACAATTTTATGGTTGGGTCACAACATGAGAAACTGTATTTAAAGGGCCAGAAGGTTGAGAACCACTGCCTTAGTCCATAAGCTGTTTCTGTTGCATTTGGGGCTGTTTCTATACATTTAAATATATATATATATATATGTCAAACGATGTAAATGAAGTAAATTTTTTGAATTCTGGTACTATGAGGGAATCAAAGCACATCAGAAATAGTTATGCTTGCTTAGTTAACATTTTGAAAGGCAATTTCATCAACATGCAAAAACCCAAATTGGGAGAATTTTTTTGTAAGCATATTGCATCATTTCATACTATTTTTTGTTTAAATTATTTATTTTTATGTAAGATGTTTTAAAAATTAATTCTCATTTTCCAAAAATGCATTCACGGCCCCTTGATAAAGGCTGGTTCCCTTGCTACTTTAGTATTTTTTTTTTTCATCTGTGAAAATGTCTGGAGTTTATTGTTATTTACTATACAAAATATAGTTTAGAAAAGGTGCACGTTTAACTGCTAAAACACCTTCCTAAGGATTCACTTTGCACATTCAGAAAAAACGAAAACAAAATGAAGTGAAATAAAATGTTTCAACCTCACACTGTAGTTCTTCACATGTAGAAGAGGTCTGGGTTCCTTGGTAACTGTTTCGATCATTTATAAATCATGCTTTATCCATGTTATGTCTTTTAATTTTCATTAATGTTATAAGTTCATGGTTTTTTAGCTTTTAGTATTTTTACTCCAACACCAGTTATTCCAATGATACGTTAATTGAGATGTATTGTAACATCATGTCAACTATTATAAAAAACAAAACAAAACCTATATAACTCAGCGAAAAAGAAATGACCACTTGACTTTCACAAGAAAGCACTTAAGTTTCTTTTGTTATATTTAAATATCCATTGAACATAGGAAATATAAATTGGCATATTAAAGAGTAAATACATTTGTACAATAAAACACCAACAAAATCGGTGTGCAACCCCTGTTAAGTTCTAATATGACGGAAAAATTATACAAATTTTAGTTACTTATTCTTTACATCCTGGCTACAATTCAATAAGTTACCTTACTCTCTTCCTTCTTCTTGGCATGCTTAGAAATATAAATTGATGTCAATTTTAGCAATTGTGTTTGCTTTCCCTAGCATTTAATCAAGGTATTCAAAATCAGACAAGCAAATATCTTAGAAAGAGTAAGTAATATGTCTACAGAAGAATGAGTGTATTTATTTTATCAGTTGATTTGGGGAGACCAGATTCCATATAAAAAATAGTTTACAGCCCTCCACGATGAACCGCATGGCTGGAGGTGGGAAGGGGGTCTTGTTTTAGGGTAATACGCAAACACTCATTTGCCAAATAATGATCAAAACATTTTAAAATCAGCATTAAATTTAAAAAGCTCTATCAATCCATATAAGCAGTATTTTGATTACTTTTATTCCATTTAATAATTCCTCTGCAATAATGTTTCTATGTGCATGATCCACCAATTTACTTTCCAACATTAATGAAATTGCACTTAAGGGGGGGGGGTGCTCTTCAAAAATTAATCTCCCAAGATAAATTCCACTTTCAAAAAGATTCATTGTTAAAGCTGGGTTGATTTTTAGAACTACAAACACCAACAAAGTCTCCAACACTTAAAACTCAAGAGAGCTTTGGCTAGGAATGTGGTGGGTGTGGACTCAGCCAGCTTTTCGCATCATTTGGAACTTCTGGAAGGAGGAGATCGCCACCGCAGAGCCTCCTGGCATGTCACATCATTCGGTCCTGGGGCTGCTGCTGTCTCCCGCCCGCAGCAGCGGTTCCGAGACGGCCCCCCTCCGTGACCCGTGTGTGCGTTTCCGTAGCCGCGGACACAGAAGTCCGCGTGGGCACGTCTCCTCCATCCATCCTCGCCACGTCCTGCAAACCCCGCAGGCCTCGGGCAGGACCCCGCCCAGGGCGCCCGCGCGGTCACCACGTCCGGCCATAGAGCAGGCTGGCCCCGAGCACGCCGCCGCCGCCGCCGCCGTAGTCCCCCGCGGCCGCGTCCAGGGCCGCCAGGCCGCCCCCGGGGCCGTGCAGCGCGGGCGGGCTGGGCGACAGCTCCTCCAGTTCGGGCGCGGGCGTCGGGGCGGGCGGCTGCGGGCCGGCCTGGCCGGGCGTCGGCGGGCCCGGGGCCCCGTTCTGGCACGGCTTGCCGTCCTTGACCAGCACGGGCACGGCCACGCGGCGCGGGGACGGCGGCAGCGGCGGCGGCGGGGCCAGGCCGCCGTCCTGCTGCAGCTGCTGCGCCGCCTTGTCCTTGGCCTGGCGCTTCATCTTGTAGCGGTGGTTCTGGAACCAGATCTTGACCTGCGTGGGCGTCAGGTGGATCATGCCGGCCAGGTGCTCGCGCTCGGGCGCCGACAGGTACTTCTGCTGCTTGAAGCGCCGCTCCAGCTCGTAGACCTGCGCCTGCGAGAAGAGCACGCGGCGCTTCCTGCGCGGCGCCGCCACCGCCGCCGCCGCCGCGTGCAAGGGCGCCAGCGACTTGGCCGCGTCCGCGATGCCCGCCAGCGGCCCCATGCCGGCCACGTTCACGCCCGCCGACGGCCCCATGAACCTGGAAACTGGGGAGGGGCCCGAAGGGGAAGCCGGGTGAGCGCGAGGCCGGCTGCACGCCCCCCGCCCGCCCCCTCCCGCCACGTCCCGCGCGCCCCGGGCCCGGAGCCCAGGACCCGCCGCCCCCCGCGCGCCCGGACACCGGCCCCCACGCGCCCCGCGCCGCGGCGGGGAGAGCCCGCGCCGTCCGCCCGTCCTCGGTCCCGCGCTCCGGGCCCCGCTCACTTGACGAGTAGCGCGGGTCCGGGTTGGCTCCGTACCAGCCGGCGGCCCCCGCGGCCGCGCCGCCCCGCATGCCGTCGGCGTAGGCGGGCAGCTCGCCCATGGCGCCCAGGCCGCCGTTGCAGTAGCCGCCCACGGCGCCGGGCGGGAACTGCGAGACGCCCGCCGGCATGTGGTAGGTGGCGGCCGCCGCCGCTGCTGCCGCCGCCGCCGCCGCCGCGTTGTGCCCGGCCATGGGGTGCGGCTGCAGGCCCTGCGAGGGGGGACCCGGCGGCGCGCGGTAGGCGGCGGCCGCGGCCCCCAGGGGCGCCCCCAGGCCGGGCGGCGCGCCGTCCATGGCGCCGCTGAACTTCTTGTAGGTCTCCTCGATGGGGCTCAGGATGTCGGACACGGAGAAGGGCGTCGTCTGCTTGGGGCTCAACGACATGGCTCGGCGGGCCGCCGGGTAGGGGGCCCCGGGGCGGGCGCGGGCGGGATGCGGCGGCCGCCTGTCGCCGCCACCTCGGCCGCGGCCGCGGAGCCGGCGAGGAGCAGTCGGAGGCGCCGCGAGCCCCCGGAGCTGCGGGTCTGGGGTTTGTTTTAGTCCCGCGCCAGGTTGACGACAGACTCGGGGGGCGGAGCAACAGCCCCAACGAGCAAACAATGGTCATTGGCATCTTTTTCTCTCGCCCCTTCTCCCCCTTCCCCATCACCGAGGCAAAAAGGGGAAAGGGGGCAGTTGGATGTCTCTTGACAAGAGCAACCCCCCCCCCTTTGCTTTGTGCGTGCTCCCACCTCTGCCCTGGCAGTCACCCCAGCCCCCCAGCACCAGAATTAGACACCCCGAGGCCGGCGTCCAGGCTGAAGGCGAAGGACGTCGAGCTTCGCCCGTGCAGACTCTTGATTCCCTAAAGTGACTTCGTAGCCGAGTCCGGTATGCTTGGGGACGGGAGATTTGGTGCTAAATTGGGGTGGGGGCGTGCAGGGCTCGCGCCGTCCTTTCCAGCTACCCCCCCACCCCAAGCCGCCCTCACTCGCAACATCATCTACTCGTCTTTAAGTGTTAAAAAAAAAAAAAGGGAAAAAAAAGCTCTTGGGTTCCAGCATAAGAGCGCACGAAGAGAAGAGGTACAATGACCGTCCTTTGCCATTGTAGGGCTCCTAATTTATGCATCTCTAGACCCTTCAGCATCATTTTGTGGGCAACCAAACGGGCACTTCTAAATTAGCTCCAAGTACCCGAATCCAAAGAAGAGAGAAAACACAGAGAGACAGACACTCACAAACACTCAGATGCTAACTTGTAAGTATTCTGTTTTTACTCCGTGGGAATGGAGGTTGAGGTTGGTTAAGGCAAAGAGGGTAACTTGTATTTGTTAAAATGTTACAAGTTCAATTTGCACCTGTAAAGTTCTTTACAGCTTTCTGCAGTTCCCTTCTCTCTCTCTCTCTCTCTCTCTCTCTCTCTAGATCTCTCTCTCTCTCTCCTCTCCCCTCTCTCTCTCCCACATCCCCTCCCTCCCCTCTTCTCTCTCTCTCTCTCTCTCTCCTCTCTCTCTCTCTCTCTATCTCCTCTCTCTCTCTCCCTCCCTCTCCCCCTCTCTGATCTGTCTCTCTCGCTCTCTATCCTCTCCTCTCTCTCTCGCCGCTCTCTCTCTCCCTCCCTCCCCTCTCTTCTCTCTCTCTCTCTCTCTCTCTCTCTCTCTCTCTCTCTCTCTCTCTCCTCTCTCTCTCCTCCCTCCCTTCCCCTCTCTTCTCTCTCTCTCTCTCTCTCTCTCTCTCTCTCTCTCTCTCTCTCTCCTCTCTCTCTCTCCCTCCCTCCCCTCTCTTCTCTTTCTCTCTCTCTCTCTCTCTCTCTCTCCTCTCCCTCTCCCTTCTTCTCTCTCTTTCTCTCTCGCTCTCTCTTGCTCGCTCTCTCTCTCTCTCTCTCTCTCTCTCTCTCTCTCTCTCTGTCTCTCTCTCGCCTCCCCTCCCCCCCCCCTCTTCCATCCTCCCTCTCTCCCTCTCTCTCTCATTCTTAGGGATTATTTTCCTATCACTCCCATGATCAAAAAGAAGAGGGGAAAAAAACCCCAAAGTACAAATATTTCTAACTGTTCATAATGTGTCTTTTTTTTTATTGTCGGGAAAATATAACCTGTTTGAGGAAAAAATATAAAATGGATGCAGAAATCAAGTGGATATGGTAGTTTCTCTTTAAAAACAAACACGTTATCATCATTTCATTTGCAAATATACCTGCATAGCAAAGAATTTAGACATTGTAAACTCTCCATCAAATGCAGAACACGATAAGACAAAAGAAGTGTGCACTGCATATCGACTAAAGTTTGAAGATAATCTTACAGTTAAAAATAATGACAAAAGGAAAATGACATTGCAGTTTTTAAGTTTTTCTGGAGACTGGGGCAGGAGAAAGAAAAGGAACAAGGAAAGTGCTTTTTAAAGCAAGATTTTATTGTTTAAAAACGAAAAGGATATATGTACGCCAATCATTTCAGTATAACCTCACAGTACAAGTCTTGAAGGCAGGACAGTGTTAGCTAATCCTTTTCCTGTGCCATTTCAGCCCTTTGGGTGAAATGCCCTCCAAGATTTTGTTTTTGTTGTTTTAATCATTGTTTCATTCTTCCTTTGTACTTCAAAGAATCTGCTCTTGGGTTTTGGGGGTGGGACTAGTATGGTCACCTCTGGGAAGAATGTATCCACAAGGCAAGTGTGAAAAGAAGTACTTTAAAATACTAAAAGGACAAAACACAAGATTACATGAATTGTTTGCAGTCATCAATTATTGACTTAGCAAGATTAGTATTGCTTCAACTTTAACATGATGCTATTTTTACAGGTCTTTCCTGATCTTGAAACACTTGGGGCTAGTTCTTCATTCTCGCCTGCACTGGAATTGCCTACTTTTTTTTTTTTTTTTCCATTAGTGATACACAAAGAAGCATTTACGTGTGTATTTAAGTGGTTGCTGGGATCCTGAAAACTGTAGTTTGAGTTTTAAGTTTTGGTTTAATTCAGTATTCTTTACTTGTGTTAGCTTAAATAAAAAGCAGTAGAAAGTCAGTCAGTTCCAACTTTCCTCAGAGACACCTGAGTAAGTAAAAGTGGTGGTTGTATCATCTGTGGATATACACATCTCTTGCAAACCAGTATATTTTATTTTTCAAGTTCAAGCATGTTTCAGAAATGAAACCCAAGATCATAATCTTCAAGTTGATTAGTTATCCAAATTGAAAACATGTTTATAATTACAGTCCCCTCCCCCAGACTGTTGTTATTTACTGTGTTTTCAGGCTATGCATTTTATCTCATGCAGTTTTTTGTGTTCTTTTTTGTTGGTTTTCTTTTGTTTTTTAATAGGACTTCAGGATAGAAGCTCACGTAAGTGGTATTAACATACCACAAGTTGTTGCTTACTTTGTTTTTCAACACGATAGGCTCTGCTACAGGTACATTACATCTGAAAGGTTCCCATCTTTAAATCAAACAGCACTTTATCGTATCTGGAGGCTCTCTGCAGAGAGTCACTTTCTGACTGCTGGGGAACCTTACAGCCTAAATGGTGCTCCTTCACTGGTGAGCAGTTCTGGGGGGAGGGGGGATCCACAATGTTTAATATTTCTCCCTATCAATTATTTGTTTCTTGTTCCAGAAATTATATACTTCCATGCTGGACTTTTTGGATGTGTGCAGATTATTCCAAAAATAGATGTAGTCTGGAGCAGCGGTCGCCAGCCTTTCGGACCTCACGGACCACCAGTGATCTGTGGACCGCCGGTTGGCGACCGCTGGTTTGGAGGATGCCTGTGTACATTTATATAGACAAGTTAAAATCCAATTAATGTTTCATCACAGCTTTTCATCAAATGGGTTTCATCAAATTATTATCTCCCGAAATTATGAATAGAAGTTTATAGTCAGTAGATTATCGAATACTATTGACGAAATTGGATTCCATAGGAAATGTCTTCCTAAGGAGTGTTTTCTTTCCTCTTAAAAACAAGGAAAGAAAACACTCAGAAGAAAAAGCAAATGCTGTCAAAGGGAATACAGTGAGAAGAGATGTCCCTCCTACCCTGTCTTCCATCCTCCCAGTCTCCCTCCTCAGAGGCACCCGCACCTCTGTTACCTGTTTCTTCTGGGATGTCCTATACATCTGGAAACCTACCATTTTACACACAAGGTGTACATGTTCTATATTGTTTGGTACCTTTTTATAGTTTAGGTTTTTGCAATTTCACACAGCACACTTACCTCTGAAAACCTAAATGGGCTCTGCAGATACGGGAAATTTTCATGAACAAAAAAATTCAGTAGGATTTCTTGGCTTTATGACAAAAATGTGGTATCTGTTGAAAATTTCTGATGGGTTAGTTAACCTTAGGGCCAAAGATATTTGGCAGAATAATTCTGTACTAGGAGCCTTCCCTAGAGTTGGGATTTGCTGTCGAAGCTCAGAGAAGGGCCTGAGGACTTAATGGGAAGTGTTTTTCTGGGGTGGCAAACAGATTTCTAATGTGTAATGAATTTATTTATTTATAAAGACAAACTGTATTTGAAAATATAACTTTCTGCTTGATACTAAAGAAGATAAGCACCTTTTAGAAATGAGAAACTTGAAACATTTGTAATTAGTTTAAAACAGTTGTGTAATTTAATTAACAAAATCTTCATTTTTTGAAGTAGCTTTAAATTATCATCTGTGCATTTGGGAAGGAATAAAGAAATATGTCAGGGTACTGGTGTTTTGTACCAAATTTTAAGGTTCTAAAGAGGAAATGAAATTGCTATAGAGATGAAACACAGATTAATTATTTTTAATATTTTTGCTAATTTCACCAGTGTCTAAAATCTGGTTCTTAGTTCTTTTCAGTCCTAAAGGCTTTTTGTTTGAACATTCACTTCAATTACTTTTGAATCTCTTTATGATAATTTTACATGTGTATTTATATGACTTTGTTATTTCTATGTGACACAGTCATCCTTTCATATTTTTATCACAAAATGCAATTCTTGTAATTTAACTCCTATAAAAACTCTTGATTCATCCTTTTCTGAGATTCAGATATTTTAGGTTGAAAATAGTGTATTAGTTTATTTGACCAGCTATTATTTTAAGTTAACATGATTATTAATGCAATGTGAGAATGAGTGGTAGGTGTCAAAGACATTATTGTTGTTGAAGTCATTATAATAATGAGTTCAATTAAATGATTCCTAAAAAACAAGAAGTAGAAGGCTCCCACCCTTTCTAGGGTCCAGCTGTAATACTAGTTTTTACAGTCACAGAGAATAACATTAGGCTATTCCAGTCGTGTAAACTATTAAAATTTCCTAGTATGTTACAACTCTCTCACCCTAGGATTGTGAGTTTGAACTAGAAATTTAATTTCTGTTTTTAAAATTATTTTTACATGACATGGAAAATAATGGCAATGTTTTGAAAAAATTTACTTGTACATCTTGCTTACACAGAGTTTAAAACTTTTTAGAATATAATGGCATTTTAATTGAGCAATGTCTTTGATGGTTTTTATATGTTT